GCTAAACTTTTTATTTGCTTCTGCTGTCTTTATTTCTTCTCTTCCTGTCTTTCTTTTGTCCCTCCCTTTTCATTCCACTCTTCTTCTCCTTCTTCCTTCTCTTCATATAATCATTCAGATTGTCTATGAAGCTACTCCTCAAATAAAGTAAGTCCAATATTAGTACATTACATGGATACTAATGACTATTATTCTCACAGTACAACTGATGATTTTGGTTATGATGATGGTGAGGATTTATATGAAGCAGTAGAAACTGATCGACTTGATGTGAGTGATACCCCTCCAGCATTACCTGGTCTACCACCATCAGGTTCTAGACCAACCATACAGCCAACAACTGAGGGTAAGTTATTTTATTGGATTGTAAGATACCGTATAGTGCTTTATTTTCGAGGAGCTAAACTTTCGCTATTTTCGCGGTTAGCATGAAACTGCAAAATTAAAGATCCACTAAAATTCAATTGCCATTAAAGGTGTGGCACTAACATTGCCAATCTGCAAAAATTATTTCTGCGAAAAATTAATTTTTATAATTCCGCAAAATTCTAGCTCCGCAAAATTAAAGCGCTATACAGTAATTGATGTTTTTCATTCAATAGAAGATGAAGATTCTCAGGATGTCTATGAGTATCTCCCAGAAGAGGATCAAGATTGATTTATAACTTATTGATGGGATTTCTTTTGTTTGTTTGTATTAGATTTTTTTATTTTCTTAGTAATTTATTTAAAAAAGTTTTTGCCTGGATACTAGTTCTGTCATCAAGTGCATTATTAAAACCAAGAGTAGATAATAAAGGCACTTGTAGCATAGCAGGAATCATTATAATTTCTAAGTATAATCTGACAGTTACTCTTGTTAAAGTCAAGAGCGCTATCATTATGATTAATTTTGATTGGTCAGACTCAGTCCCGTGGTCCGCCCTCAGTTAATCAACTTAATCCTAGGTCTGTAGTAGTGTAGTTCCTGCTTCCTGGTCAGGTTATCCTCAGTCTCAGTTGCTCACTAATGGATTACACGAATCTGTATGTTTCAGATTTTTGGCATGAGATATCGTCTGAGTCTGATTCTTGGCTAGAAGACAATAAACAGATTGAAATCATCCTACTAGCTCTTGAAGGACTATTCGAAAGACATGATGATTATCGTGGTAGAGGTTGGCAGGTATTTTACGCGAGGCTAGATTCCGGCCCTCGCCTTCCTGGTGAACCAAGAGAATTACAATACGTTTTGGCACTAGTTAACTGGAAAGTTGGAGTAGAGGATGCTCTGTTAATTTTATACGAGGTTTTACTGGGAGTAGGTGTGGAAGAAGAAAAGCTACTGAAAATCAGAGATCATTGTAACACTGAACTAACTGATAGCATGTACATACATGAGAAATACCCAGATTTTAGTACGTTACTAGCACTAGGCAATATCATAGCTTCCTCGATGAGTGATTATAGTGATTTCAATGCCAAGTTGGATGACGTTGCATTCATGTATTACGGCTCAAAGAATAATTTTAATGAGTATAGGAGGTATCACACTATACAAATTTTTGAGTATTTTGACAGATTGAAGATTAAAAAAAAGGCCGGAGGAATACCTCGAGGAATAATACTTCAAAGGGCTATGACAGAAGGATATGTATCTCTGATTAATATCAATATCATTATTTGTGGGCCTCCATACGTTGGCAAGACGGCATTCAAGGCTTTATTGCTTAACAAAGAAGCACCTCTCAAACACAATAGTACACCCATTGCTGCACGTCCTGTACAAGCCATTGAAATACTAGCTGATGGAGATAAGGTTTGGAAAGAAGTCTCAAATGATGATTTACTACAAATGCTATCTAATACTA